TCACAGAGGAAAACATTTCCTTTGGCTTCTTGGTCTCAACCTTTTCCCTGTCTGTTGGGGCCCCTGCTGCCACCAGCACCCCTGCAGCTCTCCAAGGAGATGTGCGAGCAACAACACTCTAGCAACCTCTTCTTGCTCCATGCCCCCAAGGTCCCCAGGAAAGCGAGAGCTCGCACATCTCAGTGGAGAGAGGCATGAGGTGCGTTTGCACTGCAGCAGCCTTTGGTTTACCCACCAGTGCTCACCCCAGGGCGGCTGCCTTCTGGAAATCGGCAGAGGCAAGCTGTTGTGGAGGGAGCAGCTCAGCAGAAGGCAGGGTGGGGGTGGGGGGGAGAGAGAGAAAGCAAAACCCTTCCCTTCCCACCGGCCACCTGGGCCCAGCTGCCACCTGATCCATCTTTCAGCTGCCAGCTGCACTTCGGGAAAGGGAGGGAGCAACAAGACCCCTCCCACAAGCCAGTCTTTCCTATGTCTTTGTGCCAGGGGTCGGGGGACACCTCTGCCTTTGCAGAATCCCTGGAGAAAATGGGAGGGGCAGACTTTGTCCCACCCTGTCTGCCTCATACTTCAGGTCTTCCTAGGGCAGGGATGGGGAGAAGAGTGGGAAGGAAATAATAAAGAGCAGGCTCTGCGCTTACCTGATGCGTCGCTTTCTTGACAAAGGGCAAAGGGAGTCCCTGGACTCCTGGGCAGCTCAGCAAGGACTGGAGCGAAGGGCCCAGCAGCTCGAACACTAAGCACACGGGGGGGGGGGGGGGCAGAGTCAGGGATCCATGAACAGCCAAAGTCCTGGTCTTATTTCTCTCCAGCAGCGGATTTTATGCCAAGAGGGGGGTCTTTCTCAGCAATGTTCCCCATAGTCTGTTTGCTCAAGAAGGCAGAGAAGATGGGACCACAGGCCCTGCCACTTCACACCACGCTGGGAGCCACGCTGCTGGTGCTCCCCAGGCATTGTTCCCACTTCTAGTAGTAGCTGCGAGCAGCAGCCTCAATTTGACTTGGGACCATGGCTCAACAAGAGGGGAGTTTTACCCTTCCCACCCTAATATTTTCCTAATCGGACACGACTTGATGATCTCCTACTGGGGGGCAGGGGGGAAATGTAAAAGTCCTGTGCATAGTACCCGCATCTTTGCATCAACAGGGGGGAACTAGCAACTTTTCAGGTCTGAAACACGGGGTGGTGGTGGAGGAGGAAGAGGAGGAGGAGGGATTTATATCCCGCCCTTCACTACCGAAAGGTGTCTCAGAGCGGCTTACAAACTCCTTTCCCTTCCCCTCCCCACAACAGACACCCTGTGAGGTAGGTGGGGCTGAGAGAGCTCTTGACAGAAACTGCTCTTTTTCAAGAACAGCTCTTATCAGAGCTATGGCTTGCTCAAGGTCATCCAGCCAGGTGCAAGTGGAGGAGTGGGGGAAATCAAACCCGGTTCTCCCAGATTAGAGTCCGCACACTTAACCACTACACCAAAGTGGCTCTCAGAAGGGAGGAACAGTCTCATTTGAAAAGAAAACCACCACCACCACCCCGGGACCTCTGACCACGGAATGCTCAGCCTCCAGTTTACAGCCCGGTACACTTCCCCTGAGCTACGCCTTTCTCCCCAGCAGCCAGAAAGAAGGAGAAGAGTCAGCGTGAGCTCCATTTCCGATGGGGTACTTCCTTCTGGCAGGGAATTATAGGTGAAGCAAAGAAAGCACCTGCGTGAAAGCACTCCTAAGAGAGTCTCTCCTCCCACAGCCAGTTTCTTAAGAACATTAAGAAGAGCCCTGCTGGAACAGACCTGGGGTCCATCAAGTCCAGCACCCTGTCTCATGCAGTGGTCAACCAGTTCCTCTGGAGGGCCAGCAACAGGGCATAGAGGCCGAGGCCTTCCCCTGACGTTGCCTCCTGGCTCTGGGGATTCAGAGGTTGAGTGCTTCTGAACGTGGAGGTTCCCCTCAGTCACCATGGCTAGTACCCACTGATAGACCTCTCCTCCATGAATCGATCAGCTTTTTCTCTGCTGCAGCAGGTATCCACTCCCATGCCCTTGCCCAGCCGCTGGCTGCTGTTGCAGGCCAGTTCCCTTTTTGAGGGCAAGCAGCCAACTTGGCCTTAAGAGGCTGCCCCGTCCGTCCTGGAGTCTATTTCCACCTAGCCAAAGGATATGAAAGCCATTCTCTCCAATCATTTTGAAATCATCGAGCAAGCGGATGAGGTGATCTCCGGCTTGGTCTTTTCTTCTCTTGCTGTCCACCTGTGAAAAGACAAGGGCGTTCAGTTACTCTAAATGAGACCACAACCCTTTGAGAGTCTGCCTGGAGGCAAAGAGACACAGCAGAAGAGAGCAGGGGTGTGTGTGTGTGGGGGGGTCAGGCTTGGGGCAGCAACATCACCAATCAAGTCCAGTTTGGCTGGTTTGCCAGATGCCCTTTACGGTCTGGGATAATGAGAAGAAGAGGCTGAGGGTGGGGCTGCTACCCGTTTCCCAGTTCAAGTCCAATGGCACCTTAGAGACCAGCAATATTTTTTGGGGGGGTGTATCAGCTTTCAAGAGTCTACGCTCCCTTCATCAGAGCTTTGACTCTCAAAAGCTTATACCCAGGGGTCATTTCGTAGAAAAAGAGGCGCAGGAGCTCATTAGCATAGCTCATTAGCATAACTCATTTGCATATGCCACACCCCCTGGCATCACCAGAAGTGTGTCAGAAGGCAACACCCACCACTCAGGCTCCACTGGACTGTTTTGGATTGCTAGCTATTGGGGGGGGGAGGGGGAACGTGCAGATCTGTCCTCGCAGAGGAGGGAGAGCTTGTACCTGAATAAAACCTGGTCTTAAAGGTGCCACTGGACTGTTTTGGACCGGGGGGGCGGGGGGGGGCTCTGCAGCTTACCTGGCTGCTTCTTGCTCTGACTGAGGGCTGCTGAGAGCAGGGGGCGGGGCTTATTGCATGTGCCCACCCCCTGGACTCTTTACTGCCGGAGCTCCGCTCCTGTGCACTCCTGCAGGAAATGACCCCTGCTTATACCCCCAAAATCTTGCTGGTCTCTAAGGTGCCGAGGGACTCTAATCTAGATGTTCTACCGCAGACCAACACGGCTACCCTCCTGAAGCAGTTTTCTGGTGAAGGCTCTTGCTGCTTCCACAAAGGGCCAGGAAAAGACACTCCAGCTGCAGAAGCAGAAGCAAGTGAGGGGCGGGGGGGGGGAAGTGTGCAAGGATGGCATCTGTATGCCCCATCTCAGTGCCACTTGCTGCTGTCCCCCTCCCACCCCTCCGCTGAGTTGGCACAGAAGCGCCAGTGGCCAGCCATCAGACCAGGCCTCCTCACGGCCTGGCCACCCACTTCCCCGGCTTCAGGTCTAGTAGCGTACATGGCAGCACTAGGACTCTCCCAGGTTGTATCGGGCCCCACTCATCAAGCAGGCCACACGCTAGTTCTGATCTTTATGGCGGGTGTGAATGCTGGCCGGACATCCAAGGACAGAGTGCCACGGTTGGACCACATTGCCCTGAAGGCCCATCTGGAGATTCCGTCCCTCTCCTGCATAGGTGGCGAGCAGATTTACCCTCCCCCACAGAGACTCATGGATCCAACTGGTTTCCAGAATGCTCTCTGGGATCTGAGCCCCCCTGACGACTCGTTAGGTACGCTGATGGGAGAACTGGCATAACTGTCTTTCAGGGGCTTGTGGGAAATGGAATGGGATAGAAATGAAATGAATAAATATAATAATAATAACTCAGCCCTTTGAACACAAGAGGAGGAGGAGATTGGATTTATACCCCGCCCTTCACTACCCGAAGGTGCCTCAGAGCGGTTTACAATCCCTTTCCCTTCCCCTCCTCACAACAGACACCCTGTGAGGTAGGTGGGGCTGAGTGAGAGAACAGCTCTGAAAGAACTTGTAACTGACCCAAGGTCACACCAGCAGCTGCATGTGGAGTGTGTTTTTTCCCCCCTTTTTTGCTCAGGTTCAACAGGAAAAAGTATGGGAGACCCATGAATGACACTCTGAGTCAGCAGGACATCCTCTGGAAGCTTCCCCACAGTGGGACATCCAGCTGGCCTCACAGGGGGCCCAGGGGAAAATCCCTGTGTTGGAAGCCGCCTCTATGTTCCTCTTGGTAGCTGTTCAGCACCTGCCTATGGAGATGAAGTTGTTCTAGGCAGAGGTCATTTCGGGGGGGGGAATGCGGGGGAACGCAGTTTCCCCGGGTGAGGTGCAGGGGGCGGGGCACATGACGAAGCCCCGCCCCTGCTTCCGGCCGCCCCGCTTCCAGCCTTCATTCAGCCAGGAGGAGGCAGGAGAAGAGGGAGGGTAAGTTGCTTCCTCCCCGCCTCTCCCCACCCCTGCCTGCCTGGGGCCAGGGAGGGACTTGGCGGGGCTTCCTCGCACTCCCGCTGGCCTTGCAGGTCCACCGCCGGGCCCCTGATGTCAGGGGGTGTGGCATATGCTAATGAGTTATGCTAATGAGTTCCTACGAAAGGACCCCTGGTTCTAGGCATACAGTCTGGGTGTGTGTATTGGGGGGGGGGAACAACCCTATCTGTGGATGACTAAGGGCCTAGCCGCATGTTCTGAAGCGGCATTAGCAGTGCCTGTGGCTCCGCTGCAAACAGAGTTCCTGGGCGGGCTGACGGAGGGCTTCTTTCAGGAACAGAGCTGGCTCAGAGGAGGCTCCTCTGCTGTGCTGTCAAGGGAAAGGGGCTGAGGCAGGGCTCCTCCGGGAGGCAGCTGGCTCTGGGGAACAGCTTCAAGGTTTTGCCAGAAGGTGCTGGGTTCAGAGTTACATACACAGCGCAGGAGCATGACTTCATCCAGGGCTGCCTCGGCAAAATTCTCCCCTCCCTTGGGCACCTTCACAGCCACACACCTCTTCTTCCTGGAAAGAGACACCACCTATTGGTTGCAGGGGAAGGAACAAGAACCCGCCCTGGACACTGACGTATATTTCCCCCCCCCCCCCCCTTCGAGCTGCTTCAGAGCTGGCAGATCTCCTGGCTGGAGGAAGAAGGGCTCTGCTCTTTGCCTTCATGAGGGGGAGAGCTAATCCAACCTTCCCTCCTGTATCTCCAGAGTGATGCTAATTCAAGGGAACGGGGGGGTAACCATCCCAAGGGTTGGATATGCACAGTCAACACAGATTATGAGTGGCATACCTTGGGGCACACTTGCCCAAAGTTTGCCGGGGGCCCCCCACATGATTAGATGCTTCCCTGAAACCGTGGCATTGATTCATCTCAAGCAAACAAAAGTATCTAAGGGACTTTAGCAGGGGTCGTTTTGTAGAAAAAGAGCTAGGGGAACATTAGCATAACTCATTAGCATATGCCACACCCCCTGACATCACCAGAAGTGTGTCATAAGGCCACACCCCCTGACATCACCGGAAGTGTGTCATAAGGCCACACACCCCGCCCCCAACGGTCCCGGCCGTCGCCGGCCTTGCAGCTCTACTGCCGAGCCCCATGAGGGGCCCGGCGGTGGACCTGCAAGGCGGCCGGAAGCAGGGGGCGGGGCTTCATCATGTGCCCCGCCCCCCGTACCTCACCCGGGGGAACTGCGATCCCCCACGATCCCCCCCGAAATGACCTCTGGACTTTAGCTGTATCTACATCCCCACATCTAATCCCAGCTCCTGGAGATTTGGGGGTGGAGCCTGGGGAGGACAGGGACCTCAGTGGGGTACAGTGCCATGGAACCCACCCTCCAAAGCATCCATTTTCTCCGGGAGGACTCATCTCTGCAGTCTGGAGGTGAGCTGCAATCACAGGGGATCCCACCTGGAGGCTGGCATCGCTATGTGACAGAAAGACTTTTTGTTACTGCCTTAATTCCGGAAAGCCAGGGATAAGGGTGAGGGGGTGGGTGGAACTATTCCTTACCTGGTTGAACCTGAATTCCTAAACCCTCCTTTCCCAACACCACCAATATGGGAAACATTTCTGGGGGGAAACTGGCTGGTGAGGGGAGGACCCACTTAACTCCTTCCTGGAGCCACTGATTTGACTCTGCAAATGCTCCCCCCCTCAATACCCAGCATTTTTCCCTGCCCCCCCCCAGCTGAGCTTCCTTCTGATCTTGGAGACTGGGCAGGGGAGGGGAGAAAATGAGCTAAAAAACAGCCTGGGGTGCATTTTGAGGGAGGTAATTAGTGGGTGCAGGAGGAGTTAAGTGCCCAGGCTGTGATTTGCAGCCTCCTGGGTGATTTGCAAACATCCACAAGCAGCTGGGGCCTGCAATACGGAACTTCAACACAGCCCTATTTCAGCTCTCTGTAGGATTCAGACTGTGCTTGGAATAAGGGTTGGAGTCTGAGATACATAATTTAGCTGGGGGAAATATTATTTGTTTAGGGAAAAATATGCCTACTTTCTAGGAACCTGCCGAAGGCAGTTCACAAATTAAAAAATAACACAAACAAAACATTAAAATAGGGTTGCCAGCTCCAGGTTGGGAAATACCTGAAGATCTTGGGGGTAGAGCCTGGGGAAGGGAGGGAACTCGACAGGGTACAAGGGCCACAGAGTCCGCCCTCCAAAGCATTCATTTTTCTCCAGGGGAAACTCATCTTGTTCATCTGGAGATCAGCTGTAATAGCAGGAAATCTCCATGTGCCACCTGGAGGTTGGCAACCTGACATTACAAGGTATCAATTAAAATCCAGCATAAAAACAAACCACAAACAGCTTAAAATAAGTTTCCAGGCTAAAATTGTGTTGTAAAAAAATCAACCCCTTAATTAACAGCCTGAGTGAACCGAAACATTTGTCCGGTGGTGCCTCAAAGAAAGCAAAATAGGCACCAGGTGAGCCTCAAGGGGGAAGGGCATTCCACAGGGGAGGTGCCACTACTGAAAAAGTCCTGTCTCTGGTTGCCACTCACCTCACATCTGAAGGCAGGGGGCATGGAGAGCTGGGCTTGTGAGGCAGATCTTAGCAGGGGGGCTTGACTACATGGGAGATGGTGGTCCTTCAGGTACCCTGGCTCCAAACCATTTAGGGCTTCAAAGGTCAGAATCAGCACTTTGCATTGAGCTAGGAAACAAATATGGGCAGCGAGTGCAGATTCTTCTGCACTGGGAGGGGGGGAAATGATTTGGATCAGGGCTGCAGCGGTAAAGAAGGGGAAGGAGTTCATTCTTCTTTCTCTGCAGCCTTCTCCTCATTGAAAATACTCCCCTCGGGCTCCTTTAACCCCCACCCCCAGGGGGGAAGACAAGCATATATACTGTGGCTGTCTTTTTCCTCTAATGGGACTTAAAGCACCCTGGCAGGTGAGGGGGGCCATTTCTGATGGAGAAAACACCACAGGAGAAGGTTAGAGTTCAATGTCTTTCTTCCTCAGTGGATGGCTTTAATCTGAGTCAGTTGCTTTTAGAAGCTGAAGCCTCATGTGAAGTTTGACCTGACCTCCGCCTCTGCCTCCAAGCAGGCTCCTAGTTTCTGTTGCTGGACTAGCACTAATGCACTGAGATGTTCCTCCTTAACGGCCATGGCATGCAGCCCACCGACAGCCAGGACTCTGGGTATTCCCCGGTCTTTTTCTTTGATGATTTTGATATTTATACTCCCCACCCCACCCCCAATGTGGACCCAAAGCAGCTTACAACACCCTCTTCTCCTCCATTTGAGCCTCACAACGATCACCCTGTGAGGGAGGTTCAGCTGAGAGAGAATGACTGGCCCCCAAGGTCACCCAGTCAGCTTCCATGACACAATGGAGATTTGAATCCTGCAATCTTCCATGGTAGAGCTGGGATTCAAACCTAGGGTTGCCAGTTCCAGACTGGGAAATACCTGGAGATTTTGGGGGTGGAGCCTGAGGAGGGCGTGGTTTGGGGAGGGGAGGGACTTCAGTGGGGTATAATGCCGTAGAGTGCACCTTTCAAAGTGGCCATTTTCTCCAGGGGAGCTGATCTCTGTCATCTGGAGATCAGCTGTAATCCCAGGAGATCTCCATCCACCAACGGGAGGTTGGCAACCCTCTTCAAACCAGAGTTTTCCAGATCCCAGTCTAACCACCACTCTGGCTCTTGCGGGCTTTTGTCCCACGCCGCCAGACAAAAGAAAACACACGCACCTATTCGGTACTTTCTCCTTTGGGCTCAGAATGGATTCCTACATGGTAGTACCGATCGCCAGTCTCTGTTGTTAGGAAGAGGCCATTTTACTCACCCCATGTCTTGGCAAAGCCAGACTGTTGAGAAGTAGCCGCAGCCCAGATTCTGTACCACTTGGTATCTTCCATTGAACACTTCTCCTTGAATCACTGGATAGTAGCCTTCTGCACGGAGGAGGAAAAGAGGCATCAACAGACGTGTTACTACACCCAAAGGGCCCATTTTCTGCAAGTCATGGTAGAACCCCTACGGATGAACAAAAGAACCGGCTGGTGTTCTTGCAATAGTTCTCTCCTAATACCTGATGCTGATTTGCTGATTTTGACGCCATGAACTGTTTTCAGATCTGCGTTGTTTAATCCTTTTACCCTCCCCCTTGGAGTCTAGGTATAGAATCATAGAATCATAGAATGTTAGAGTTGGAAGGGACCTTCCAGGTCATCTAGTCCAACCCCCTGTACTCTGCAGGAGCATAGCCGAAAGATAGCCCTACAACATACCCGAAAGATGGTTGTCCAGCCTCCACTTGAAAACATCCAGCGAAGGAGCATCCACCACCTCCCGAGGCGGTCTGTTCCACTACTCAACCACTCTCACAGTTAGGAAGTTTCTCCTGATATTTAGCCAGTAACGACTCCCTTGTAATTTCCACCCATTAGATCTAGTCTTGCAATCCGGAGCAAGAGAGAATAGATCCGCTGCATCTTCTACGTGACAGCCCTTCAAATACTTGAAGACTGCAATCATGTCCCCTCCAATGTTCCCTCTAAGCTGTGGAGTCTTGTGAGCAAACATTCTACTTTGTGAGCTACCGGCATGAAAGTTGTGAGCAAGCGATTTGGCTGCTGCATACATTAGTTTGCTCTGGAGCCATCCTTCCTGAGCCAAGGCAAAAAGGTATGAGCCAGAGGCTAAAAAACAGTGAGCTAGCTCACACTAACTCAGCTTAGCGGGAACCCTGGTCCCCTCTAAGCCTTCTCTTTCCCAGGCTAAACATACCCAACTCTTTCAGCCTTTCCTCATAAGACTTGGGTTCCATCCCTCTCCCCATCCTGGTTGCCCACCTGTCCTTTCTCAAGTGCCACATCTTTCCATTCATTTGTTGGCTCTTCTTTATTTGAAACACTTGCAAGACAGCAGAAAATGTAATGACTTTGAGGGAAACAAGCGTTCCTTTTTTTTTTAACAACTTGACAGGCTCATATGTTTGGACTCAAGGGAGAAAAAATGGGAGGCAAACACAGAAACGGATCTAAATCCAGCCCAGTGACCATAAATCTGACTGCCTATGCTCTTTAAACCACACTCTCTTTTCAGGTTACCGCCTGCTAGTATCTAACTCCTTATACATTATATCATACTTGGAAATAGAGCATGAAATAAACAAGCAAATGCATACCCCGTTAGAGCTGCGTTACACATCTAGATATGACCTTATCTACACATCTATGCAGGGCTCTGTACTTTGCTGATCTGAAGGACAGTTAGATGCCCTCTTCAAGCAATACCAGCCACTCACCTGAACAAGATGCTGAGACCTCCTTTGGCCATTCAGAAGCATCCATGGCAGGACCACAGCTCCCCGGGTTGCAGGATGGTCCGAAATTCGAAACCATCTAAAGCAGGGAGACATTACATCTAAGGGCCAAGGAAATCATTAGTATTTTATGCTAGCTGATTGATTCTCCTCTGTTACAAGCCTGTAGAAAAACCAGTGGAAGGCACTGAGAGATAGCTGGATCCAACTCCGAGAAAGTCTGAGAGAAATGAAGATGTTTAGTTGAAATACATTGCTAATTTCTCATTATTTATAAGGAGGCTACAGGTGGCAATGGCAGTCTGTAGACTTTTGGGGTTGGTAGGAGCTGGGGGCAGACCACCATGGGCAGGGCCAAAACAACAAAGGTAGGCACAGGAGTCCCAACTGAGCCCAGAGGGGAATGGAGATACAGCATGGAAGTTTGCTTGGTCACAATAACAACATTCACCCTCCATTACTCCAGGTTAGCAACAAAGGGTCCCAGTCAGTGTTCCCTCTAAGCTGAGTTAGTGTGAGCTAGCTCACAGTTTTTTAGCCTCTGGCTCACCCATTTTTGCCTTAGCTCAGGAAGGAGGGCTCCAGAGCAAACTAATTTATGCAGTAGCCAAATCGCTCACTCACAACTTTAATACCAGTAGCTCACAAAGTAGAATTTTTGCTCACATGACTCCACAGCTTAGAGGGAACATTGATCCCAGTCAGTGTTCCCTCTAAGCTGAGTTAGTGTGAGCCAGCTCACAGTTTTTTAGCCTCTGGCTCACCCATTTTTTGTCTTGGCTCAAGAAGGATGGCTCCAGAGCAAACTAATTTATGCAGTAGCCAAATCGCTCGCTCACCACTTTAATGCCAGCAGCTCACAAAGTAGAATTTTTGCTCACATGACTCCACAGCTTAGAGGGAGTGTTGGTCCCAGTTTGATTTGGTTTAATGTCTGTACAGGCAGAATGACTGAGGGTGACTGGTGGATTTCTCAAAAAGTTCACCACCGCACACAGAGAGAAAAGAGCACTGCAAAATGATCTACAGCAATTTAAACATGCCAGTCTGAAATGTCCAACAGGGGCACTTCTCACAAGGGGGGGGGGAGAGGAAAACATTGACAACACAACAGTGCTTAAAATAACTATCTTGTTATGATTCTTTCTCTTGCACAAGAGTGATGCTGGATATCTAAATCCTGAAATATAATCAAGGCAGGCATATGACTTTCCTCCCTCAGGTCTGAAGCTTCCACAGCTGAAGAGGCTGCCCAGTCCCTCTCCCAGTGAGCTCAAGCTAGCACTCTCCCAAGTACGTAAAGCCCTCTTCCTTTACCATTTGTATTGCAATTGCACAAACCCAGGCACTTTAACATTAATCAATGGAGTTGCCAACCTCCAGGTGGTGGCCAGAGATCCCCTGGAATTACAACTGCTCTCCAGGCAACAGAGATCAGTTCCTCTGGAGGAAATGGCAGCTTTTGAGGGTAGACTCTGTGGAATCATATCTCTCCCCCACCCTGAGCGCCCCCCCCCCTTTCCCAAATTCTGCCTTCCCCAGGCCCTGCCCTCAAATCTCCAGGGATTTCTCCAGCCAGAGCTGGCAACTCTGTTAATCAACCCTCTTTTCTTTATAACTGACAGTCTGTATTTATACAATTTCTTAACCTTCACTGGTGGCTTATCTTTTAAGCTACATAATGCATATGCGGTTGACTGGGGAACCTCCTGAATGAAGTGAAGGGAATATCCTAGTACAGTACCTGGAACGTAACCAAGCCTAGAATGCTCTTTCTTCAGGTTCAGGCAGTCCTCTCTCTTCCCACAGCAACTACCTCTCCGGGTGAGCTCAGCAAGCAGAACAGGCTGATCAGGAAAGCCCCCCCTCCCACCTCCCTTCTGCAGTAGAGGCACAGCATAGGTGGCCACAACCGCCCATCCATAGAGTCAGCCAATAGCACAGCCAGGGGACTGAGTCTTCAGCTGGGACAATGCCCTTTGATTGAACCCTACCCGTCTGGCTCCATATTGAAGCCACTGCTTCCCAGCAGAGGGAGCCCTTTCAGTGTTTACAAGGGAATCCTTGGGGGTGAAAAGCGGTTTGGATCTAGCCAATCACTGCCTGACTCCCACAACTGTCAGAGTAACCAGGTTCACTCCAGTGTGAATGTCAACTCTGGGAACTCCCTGGAGATGGGGGCAGGGAAACCCGGGTGCTGAACTATGAGCTTTCTGCATGCCACTGAGAACTTTCCGGCCCTCTAGGTTGACAACCTCCAGGCAAGGCCTGGGGATCTCCCAGAATTACAATTTATCTCCAGAGATCCGTTCCCATGGAGAAAATGGCAGCTTTGGAGGGTGGGCGGTGTGGCATCACATCTCTGCCGAGCTCCGTCCACATTACAGGCTCCACCCCAAATTGCCAGGAATTTCCCAGCCTGGAGGTGGCAACCCTAAGGGGCCCTGCCTTTTTCAGGGTAGAGTTTGTACACTGTACGGGGTTGAGACCAATATTCCCTCTAAGCCGCGGAGTCCTCTGAGCAAAAATTCTACTTGGTGAGCTCCTGGCATTAAAGTTGTGAGCGAGCGATTGGGCTACTGCATAAATTAGTTTGCTCTGGAGCCGTCCCTTCCTGAGGTAAGACAAAAACGTGTGAGCCGGAGGCTAAAAAACAGTGAGCTAGCTCACACCAGCTCAGCTTAGCGGGAACACTGGTTCAGACTCAGCACCAGCATGGCGTAGTGGTTTCAGTGTTGGCCTAGGATCTGGGAGACCCAGGTTTGAATCCCTGCTCTGCCTTGGAAGTTCACTGGGTGCCCCTGGGCCAGTCCCTCCCTCCCAAGCCTCTCCTACCTCACAGGGTTGTTGTGAGGATAAAAAGGAGAAGAGGAGAACAATGCCAGTCGGCTGGGTCCCTGTTGTGGAGAAAGGTGGGTTATAAATAAACAAACTGGACTTAGATCATCGGCCTGAACATGCACAGAGAGGGAGTGGCTAGTGGCAGCCTGTACACTTCCACCTTACCTCTAGAGGTCAGTGAATGCGTGAAAATAGTGTTGTACGCATTTTATGAAGCACTTTGTACTCTGCCACTGCCTAACAGGTTTGACTTGGTAGGTGTGCTTAGCACTTCCATAATGCATATGAATCTGACATCATGAATGTATTCAGGTATTAACTTTGGTTCATTTGTGACTGTTGTTTGAATGCATACTGGGAAGAAGGCTGAAATGCTGATACACAGTTATGCTACCCATGACCTTGCTTGTTCTGGCCAGCTACAACTGCGCATGTTTCTAATGTGAGTTAACCTAGCTAGAATGAAGAACAGTAAGCACTCTGTAACCATATCAGTTATATAGATACAACATGCAACTTCATAGCTTCCGAAAGAAAAGTGTATTGTTCTGTTAGGGAAAAAAGATCTCCCCTCGGAACACCCCCCCCCCCCCCCCAGGTCTTAACCCAAAGGGAAATAGGTGATGAAATTTGACAATGTTTGATGGAACCAATAATTCTGTTTTATTTCTCTGATGTAATGTGAAGTATAAAATGCTATTTCACCCATTGTAACACTTGAAGAATCTGTTGGGTATTCAGGGTTCCAAAACCCTTGAATCTGTATTCTTCCTTATTGATTAATAAATTATTTTTTTGGTTTCCAACTCTACAGGACTGCTTTTGTGTGTTTTCTCACATTGGCCTGGGCAAACACAATCAGGGACAGAGGTTCTGTCTTACAATAGCTAGGCTGGAACTGAAGGATGAGCAATTGGAGATGGAAGGTCTCTCTTGTGCTGCGTTAGAGGCACAAGAACCTCGTAGAATCTGGGAGGAAGTATCTGGATCCTGGGTAGGGCTGCCTGGTCCCGGTTGGGAAATGCCTGGAGCTTTTGGGAGGGGGGCCTGAGGAGGGTGGGGTTTGGGGAGGAGACAGGGGAGGGACTTCAGTGGGGGACAGTGGCCACAGAGTCCACCTTCCAAAGCTGCCATTTTCTCCAGGTGAACTGATCTCTGTTGTCTGGAGATCAGTTGTAACAGTGGGAGATCTCCAGGCCTCACCTGGAAGTTGGCGACCCTAAATTCCTGGGCAAAACAACCAGCTCCATCAAAGCTACTTTTCTTCCCTCCCCTGTTGCTTCTTTTCCTGAGCATTCTGCCTGAGAAAGAATCCCACACAGCTTCAAAGTGTTCCTGTGCCACGGAGTCAAACTCATTCCTGTTCTGCATGGCCTCCGTCAGTTTGTCCCTTGTGCCTTTTCCCTTCTGGGCTTGAGCAGCCAGGTTTCTCCACCTCCGGCAACTTCCCTTCTTCCTCCCCACATGCCTCCGCTTCCTTGAATTCTGGAGCTGGGCTGTTATGAAAATTCCTGGCATTTCTGCAGGGGTCATGGCAGAAATTATGTGATGGGTTTGCACTGGAGGTTTTCAAAGGACGGCCGCTGAGCCAGCAAGCCTCCTGTGCCCCACAGTGCTGGAAAGGCGCCAGGCCCGATCTCAGGTTCCTGGCTGCCCTTGCTTGGATTTTCAGATGGATTAGGGAGGATTGTCTGAAGGGCCAGGCATCCCCTGATGGAAAGTTGACCTGGCTTCCATGGGGAGGGCTCAGATCCCCTTCTCCAGACAGGCAGGAAGAAGAGGCTGTCCTCGCACATTCATGCTTCGACATGTTTCAGTGTCTTTGAAGGAGCACGAACACGGTTGTCAGACGTGCCAGAAAGCCACATTTTGGGATGGCGTGCCTCTGCATGCATCAGTAATTCTAAATTAGGCAAATACATGCAAAAGCCGTGCAGCATTCATTCCAACAGGAGCATTTCAGTTTGGTATAGAATTTGCAGTCTGGGCGCACAGAGCAGTACCCTGCTGTCCTTGCACAGGATTTCCCACCCACCCCCCGTAGGTCAATAAACACATCCATCAAATCAACTCTTAAGGGTCTTCATGGTGAGCAAATGCGTCTCTTCCTCAGAGCTGCCAGTTTCCAGAAAGGGGAGGGTTGCCAGGTCGGGGTTGGAAAATACCTGGAGACTTTGGGGGTGGATCCAGGAGAGGGCAGGGTTTGGGGGAGGGGAGGGGCCTCAGCGGGGTACAGTGTCATAGAGTCCCCCCTTCAAAGCAGCCATTTTCTCCAGGGGAGCTGCTCTCTGTCAGCTGGAGATCAGTTGTAAAAGCGGGAGATCCCCAGGCCCCACCTGGAGGCTGGCAACCCTAAGAAAGGGCCCCTAGCCATGCTTGTATGTTGTATTTTCAACTAGAAAGTGACCCGCGTTTCAAATCATTTCCCTGATTAGCAAAAGAGTCAGTCTAGAGATCTCAAGAAAGCATTCCCCAGGCTAGCTCAAAACAAGCCAGGTAGCAACCTGAGAGCTCTTCAGGGTCTCTTAAGGCGTGAGTGGTCTCTTTTTGGGAATTTCATAAAATTTTGGCACCGAGCACCATCAGTATGTGCTTCCTCCGGGGGGGGGGGGAATGTAGCAAATGCTTCCGACTTACCTCCATGGTGTGTCAGGAGCCCCTTCCAGCCCCATGTGGGGCTCTCCTTCGAAGCAGCTCAGAGCTGCCCCGCTTGCAAGTTCTCGGGAGTGCCGTCAAACACGTTCCCATTGCTTCCTTTTTTAGTCCCTGTGGCTGGGAAAGGGGGCGGAGGGGGCACCCTTCTGCCTCAGAGGTATGTGGCAAAGAAAGAGGGGTGGGATAGGATTGGATCGCACTGCGGTCTCTGGAAACGTGGTACCAACTTCAGAACAGTTCAGGGACCCCGGACAGCTGGAGCGGTCTCATTTTACCATCCCCTTTTTTGCCTTGCACCTGTTGGAACAGTTTCCTACTTTGCTCTCCTAATGCTTTCTTGGCTGCATCTCTGCCCAGCCACCAAAGCAAAACCTGGAATCTCCGGGGAGCTTATTTATAGATCAACATTTACAGATTGCTGAGATGGAAATGCAAACTTTTGCATCACGCCGCTGCCCCTCCCCCCCCCACCTCTTGTAGACATCCAGTTTTCCTGGCAAAGGGCCTGCTGCTGTGCAGGGGTAGGAAATTTAGGATCGCCCTGACATGCCAAGTGAAACTCTGTACAAAACAACTGTCGATTTTGGTGCCAGAACACTGATGCAAAGCTGAGTGTGTTTTCTCGGCGCTTGTGAATGCTTCAACAACTGTCTTCAGCGCAAAGACCTCAGTTCCCACCACACCCCATTGCAATCTGTGAGATCTCCCCAAGACAGAGCGGTACCTTAAAGACTCAAGACTGCTTCTTACTTTTGCTGCAACCATGTGACATAGCTTCTGGAATTTGAAACCAGCAGAGAACACCTTTTTAAGAGTACCATCTGTGGTTACCATCTGCCCCATTCAAGGAGCTTAACATGTCATCATTATACCCAGGGCTATTTTTGGGCAGGAACGCACAGGAACGGAGTTCCGGCTGGCTCCCAAGTTGGCCACGCCCAGCAGGAGCTCATTAGCATACCAGGCCACACCCAACAGCAGAAACTCATTAGGATTGGCTACATTAGGGGGTGTGTGGCCTAACATGCAAAGGAGTTCCTGCTACCAAAAAAGCCCTAGGTTTTGACAACAAACAAGGTAAACAGAATAACAAGCAAAAGGTGGGTGTGGCTGGATGACCACACTTCTGGTAACATGGGGGTGCGGCTTAATATGCTAATGAGTGGTGCAGTCAGGGGTGTGGCCTATTATGCTAATGAGTTCCTGCTGGACTTTTTCCTACAAAAAAAGCCTTGGTTATATCTAATTCTCAACTGAACAATAAAATCCACACAGTGGGGCCAGGGACAGACAGGAGTTGTTTTTCTATAAGCCTAGTAGAAGTCCCAGGTTTTCAGGGGGGGAAATACTTAGAAAAATTCAGGCCCCGGTCACACGGGCCGGATATCGCGGGGGGAGGCGTGGCTAATTGCCCCGGCAGAGTTTGATCCGCGATTACGCGATCAGACACACCGGCGGTACACCATGGGTCCTTCCCTCGGTGCCGGTGGGTAAACGAGGGACCAGAGGGGAATGCCGCACGCCGGCGCGTTCACACCACGGGTGTCTGGAGGCAGCCCTTGGCAAACGTTTACTAGTACCTTGGAGGTACTAGTTTTTTAATGTGCATCGTTGGCGGGAAGCCACGGGAGCAATACGCTTCCCAGATGTTGCGGTGTGATCGCGCCCGGAAAATCTGCCTATCATCTGTCTCTTTAGCGCGGCAAATGCTCTGTGTGAATGGGGCCACAGTAGGGGTTACAAAACAGAAGCAATTCCTGTTGGGTAGCCATATTGGTCTGATGCAGCAGAACAAAGTTTGAGTTCTCTACACAGGGGAAACAGTCCTCTACATAGGGCAAACAGGTCTAACACTACGCCAAAGGATAAAAGGACACAAATCTGACATCAAGAATCACAACATTGAGAAACCTGTGGGAGAGACACTTCAACCTTCCAGGACGCTCAAAACGTAGCTGTTTTATTGCAAAAGAATTTCAGAAATAGACTAGAATGGGAGATTGTTCAGTTACAAGTTATTACAACACTCAGGACAAATGGAACCCCCAGGGTTTAACAGAGATATCAGTTTCTTATCTCACAACACATGCTAATGTCATTCAGTTTTCGCATCTGTTTGTAAACTCTTTTATTATGCTGTATGCTAATCTGCTGCTATTAATCAGTATACCAATTGCCTTAATCCAATTATAGCTATATTTGCTCCTATTCACAGATTTTACCAGTTGCTTTAATCCAATCTTAACTCTAATTGGCTCTTCCTGGCAACATCCTCCTCACCCGCTAGCTATATGTAAGGGTTGGTGACTTCTGTTTCAATGTATCTGAAGAACTGTGCATGCCCACGAAAGCTTATACCATAAGCAGTGTCTGCTTCTTTAAGAAAAGTGTGCCACTGAGATCTCACAAGACTTATGTTGTATGATCTTGATGGCCGTCTGAGGGGTTGCTAGGCAACCTGCAGCCACCACTGCTGAGGATTCCAAGCCTCAGGTAGTGTTAGTGTGTGTGTTTGTGGGGGACAAACCAAAAACATAAAAAATACAAGGGGAGGGAGATAAAGCTGGAGAGGGAGGACCAGCAAAAACAAAAGGGGAATAGTAAAAGGTGGGTAAGGATGGGGGATAGAGGCCTGCTGAGGAGGGGCAGAAAAAGAATGTGGGAGGGAGGGAGGCAAGGAAAGGGAAGAGGCTGCCGGCACTGCTAGGGTGAGGCAAAGAGGAAAAGCAAAAGGGAGAAAGGAAGTTGGGGACACGAGACTCCTCTGCACAAGTACTTATGGGTCTCCTCTTGTAATAAAATAATTGCCATTGACTGTCCTTTAACAACACCCTAGATTTGCCTTCCAAGGTGGCCACCAAAAGCTGCTTCCAGATCTTTTGCTCCACACATCACTCGCCAAACGTGGTTTTTATTTGAGCTCGTACAGGACCATCCTCGTGCTGTGGATATGTCCACCCATGTGCTGCTAACGCACAAGGAGCACTGAAACATTCACAAACCCCTTGCAAAGCATTCGGCTGTACCAATCAAGGAAAGGCAGAGCAGCCAATGAAATGTTGAGGGCTTCTTGCCAGGCTGCCTCCTGGAGCATTTTAAAATGGGCGACTTGTCAAAGTCTGATCTTTTTTTTTCAAAAGTCAAATAAGAAACACATTAACAGAAACGGGGTGTTGTAAACAGGTGCCGACCATATTCAGCCTTTGCATTTTGAAATGAAGGGCAAAATATTTCCAAGGTGCGTTGGCACAAAATATCACACTTTTACTCCAGTTTCATTAGGATGGAATGGCCATGGTAAGGTAAGCCAGTTACTCGAAGCAACAGATTGCGGAGTGCCACTAAGAGGAGCAGAATGGGAAACTGTCAGGTCTGACACATGAGGATCCTTCTTCTGGGAAGGTGTCCAACATAAGCCACACTGAAATGAATGTGAGTGGCACAAAAGCACAGAAATCCCTCTTGGGTGCTTCGGTAAAGTATTACTACTGATTGTGTCCGTGCACAGTTGCCAGACCCCCAAGATCCTGAGCACTGAGATTCAAGGGGAGGGGCCTAATGATGTCATGAGGTCAGGCCTGGTGATATCACATTGGTTATCGGCAGGGGTCATTTCCGGCAGGAGCGCAGCTCCGGCAGTAAAGAGCCCAGGGGGCGGGCACATGCAACAAGCCCCACTCCCTGCAGCCCTCAGTCAGAGCAAGAAGCAGCCAGGTAAGTTGCAGAGCTCCCCCCGGCCCCCCTGGTCCAAGACAGTCCAGTGGCACCTCTAAGACCATGTTTTATTCAGGTACAAGCTCTCCCTCCTCTGCGAGGGCAGATCTGCACGTCCCCCCCCCCCCCAAAAAC